ACCCATCTAGGCCAGTCGTTCCTGGAGCTGTGGCGGCGACTTCAGTGGCGGTGTGCAATGACAGCCCCCGACCGCGGGGCACAATCCTCCAAGACCTGGCAGCCGCCATTTTCGCCTGCGGATCTGGACCCGGAGGTCAACGTCAGCAATTGTCCCTGCGTACTTGCCGTAGGGACCAATCAGAAAGTGGAATTTGAGCCGAGCTGAGGAAGCCAATTTTCACTGGGCCTGGAAGACGGTGCGTCATTCACGTCTTAGCCAATCAGATCGTTGCTTCAAAGTTTATTGCAGTTCCCGGTGTTTGCAGGTAAAAGAACTTACGAGCGCTTGGGTTTTGCGGGCGATCCTGTTGAAGAGCGAAACCTGTATGTAGGAGATACTGCCCCCTAGGTTTCCTTTGGGATTGAAACAAGCTCTTTGCTAGAACATTTAAGAATGTTGTGCAAGGAAACCTCCATCATAGGCTAAATTTACAAGTTTATTTGTGCAGCTCACATTGTGTACCTAACAGAAAACTTTTCTGTCTCAGTTCTAGGTATAGAAACATATTTTTGGAAATACAGTACTAGCATGTTTTGGGATATACATGCTTATTTTAAAAATCAGGCAACCATCACTTGTGTGTGACCCACGACTAGTCTTCAAGAAAATAATCCCATATATTTCCCTGTGATGGAATCTAGATTATTTGTTTAATGATATAATTTATTTTAAAATGGAGGAAAATGTATTTTTACTTGGGTTTAACTGAGAAGAATATCAGGGAAAAATTTTAAAACTACTGAAGAATTGTGTTTAAGTTTGTCCTGTATTAAAATCCATTATTTCAATATGTGTTGATTGATTCCTATGAATTTGAGACCTTAATGGAAAGGACTTATGTAGTTTCTAGTCCTCAGTAACTAATAAACACCTATGCATAAAGAGTGTTCACTAAATATCTGCTAAAAAGGTTGCCAAAAGCATTGAAAATCTAAACTAGTTTCAGATCATTTAATTTACTGGCTCTTTGCTATAATTAGAAACTGAAATATTATCGATTGAGGTTTATTGCAATAATTCCTAAGACTATCAAAAGCCAAATTTTTTTGTAGCTAATTTGTTATATTCCAGCCCTTGGTGTGCTAAAATACTGTACTTTTCAAGACTGGGACCACCACATGAGAGGCTCGGTTGGAGTCTCTCTTCAACCTACAAGACCAGTGGTGATTGTATGAGCCCATAATTCTAGAAACTCATGGAGGTTGAGGCAGGGAGATTGGAAATTGAAAGCTGGCTTGGGCAAGACCCTACCTGAAAAAAGAGTCTGAGCTGGGTCTAGTGGACCACCTGTAGTCATCACTGAGACACTGAGGTACGAGGATCTCTCATAAACACAAAAAAAGCAAATTGTTGGGACCAGCAGTTAGCATAATGGCTATGTCGCTGCACTCTCATGTAGTCTACCACGGTTCAAGTCCTGGACCCGGTGGCTTAAACTCACGCTGGGTGCGTGTGCATGCATGCCCAAGATCCCAAGAGGAGAATGGAGGAGAAGGGATTGCGGCATGGCCAGCCCCTTGGGGGGTGATTTCTGGCTTTATGTCTCTCTGTCTCTCTCTGTCTTTCTTCGGGTCCCGCGAAAAAAAAAAAAAAAAAAAAAAAAAAAAAAAAAAGCAAGTTAGTTGTAATTATCTTTAAGTTAAAATTGATGGTACAATTAAACTATGATGTTGCAAGTCAATTACACTGACATGTATAAATAATATTACCTGGTTTCATTAATAATGTCTTCTGTGAAGAGTTGCTAGCACAACCTCAAATATCCTTTCAACATTAAGAAAAGGAGGATATGGAAGAATTGAGATCTTTAAATCCATATTCAGTATTTAAGGAGTAAAAGTGAGGAGCTCAGTGTTACCCAAATTGAAGTGATGCTTTCTCATGTAAAGAAATAATAAACATGCTTTTAGAGAATGCATCATAGAAATCCTAGGTCAGTATTTTTTAGAAATCTCATACTATTCCAGCATAGATTTTAGGACAAGAAATCACAATCAGAGACCAATTTACACCAATTTTTCTGTCAGGAAATGCCTTACACTGTCTTGATAAGTAGATCAAAATACTCTCAGTGCATTACTGGTTATCAACCCTATGAACCAAGGAGGGAGACTAGGGAAGAAGGATGAACATACTTAGTGAAAGATGGAGGGTTGGTGGGGTAGGGCAAAAAAGCATTATTACTGAGAAAGGACCAAATCACAATATGGAAAGGAGAAGGCTTTCTTGCTGGTATGATTTAAAGCTTTTGTATTACATGCAAGGAAACAGACATAAGGCCAAAGTTGTAGCATGGTAGGAGCAATTTGGAGACTGGAACCCAGGTTGCCTGCCTCACAGTTTTATTTAATAATTTTTTTTTTTAATTGTCAAAGTGTGCATGCAGTCACCAAAGAGAGAAGGAGAGTCCCTCCAAGGATGATGGCCATGCCACATTCCCTTCTCCATTTTCCTTTAGGGATTTTGGGCATGCATGCACATGCACCTGGCATGTTTTTCAAACCACTAGGTCCAGGACTCCAAATGCATGGTCAACCATGTGGGATCCAGCCACTTTAACCACTGGGCCATGGGCTGATTCTATATAATGAATACTTTTGAGTGCTTTTTATGTGTTTGGCAGTGACTGAAGTTTTCCGGACACTTAATGAGCCCAACAAATAAATGCTTATACTTTTAACAGGGAGAGAGGAAACAAATATAGTAAGTATATCACAGGACTTGAGCAATCTGATAGAGAAGCCCTATGGACAAGTAATATGCTGTTTTTAATTTTTTTTTCCCATTTAACTTCTCATCTTTGGGGGAAGAAGGTGAAGGAAAAGTTTGTTGAAGTTTGGAGAAGGAAATAGAATCTGTGAAACTTGTATTTATCTTTATATATGTTTGTCGATTTGATGTTCTAGAAGAAAAATTATTTTAAGTTCTTCCCTATTAAGGTTTTTACTGGCCTTCAATTTAAAATATATTTCAAACCAGTCAAGCCTTGCAATTCTCCAATGGTATTTTGACCCCTCTTTATCTCATTCATTTAACAAATATTTATGAAGCAACTACTATATATAAAAATACCATTATAGATGCCGAAGATACAGCAGTGAAATAAAGACTTTAGTGGAACTTACGTGCTACTGGATAAAATAATCTAACCAACTATGTCAAATATGCATGTTAGGTAGTGATAGGAGCCAAGAAGAAAAATGAGGCAGGAAAAGAGATGGACTATACTAGTGTTGGGTGTAGAGGTTGAGTGGAGCAATTTCAGTAGACTGATCAGAGAGGGTCCTTCTGAGTAGATGACACTTGAATAGCATCTGAAGGGAATGAGAAAGAGAGCCATTAGGTATCTGGAGAGAGGGGAAGACATTCCAGGCTGGTGTGTTGCAGGGAGAATTGGCAGTCCAGCAAGGCACAGGCCCTGAACCTCCTCCGAGAGAGTGTCTACCGAGTATACCGAGAGAGCGGGAGGGACAATAATAAAGCCAGAGCAGCTAAAGTGGAATGGGACGCTATTACTTTACCAATGGTTACCAACAGTAACCAGTATCTTCTTCAGAAGCAGGTTCTAATGAGCTGGGTAATATATGTAATCAGGCTTTTTTTTTCTATTAATGGAGATTTATTTTTATCAAACAGCTCTATTGATATTTGGAAGAGACCAAACCTGCCCTATCAATTGTCCTTACCAGAACATGTGAGAAGGAAATAGAGACTGGATATTTTCTATCTATGGACATGGGTAGGAATGACAGCTAATCCTTTTTGAGCTTTATTTCTTTTGCAGTTTATATATACATACATATATATATATATATATATATATATATATGCTATTGGGCATGTGTGCTCATGAGAGAGAGACAGAGAAAGAGAGAGAAAGAACCCCCTGGGAAATGACCAAACCACAATCTCTTCTCCTCCATTCACCTCTTGGAATTTTGGACAAGCATGCACATGTGCCCAGCATATTTTTTAAGCTGCCAGGACTAGGCTCCAGCTGCTCAGTTGGCCATGTGGGATCCAGCCACTTTAATGACCATGCCTCTGGCTGACCCTGTTCTTTAAAAAATTTTATCTAAGGCATTTTTCATAACTGGTTGCATATAAAACAAATTTACATAAACGAAGACTGTAACATAAAGTATACTTGGGGGAGAGAGTTTTAAAATTTCTGAGGGTTGGTTTAGAATTTAACATTGAATGCCCTGTATTGTCTTAGGTGTCTCACATGTGACATAACACATTATCTCTCAGTCATCCTCCAAAGTGGATATTATCCTCTTCTCCCCCTGCCACTTTTTAAATATAATGTCATAACTCTTGATCATCAACAGATGAAGAATAACTAAAACAATTTTTAAAAAGAAGAGTAAGTAGAAGGATTAGTTTACTTGGTGTCAAGCCTTAATAAATAGATACAGTGGGAACCAGCAGTTAGTGTAATGGCTATGTTGCTGGACTCCCATGTAGTCAACCACGGTTCGCGTCCCGGACCCGGTGGCTTAGAACTCACGCCGGGCGCGTGTGTGTGCGTTCCCAAGATCCCGAGAAGAGAATAAAGGAGAAGGGATTGCGGCATGGCCATCCCCCTTGGGGGGGATTTCTCAATTTCTGTCTCTTTGTCTCTCTCTGTCTGG